GAAGGAAATGGAGCAAAGGTTAGATCTCCATAAAAGAACAGGGTTTTAACCTATGAAAATTAGCTCTTTTAAAAATTGGCTCATCCCTTTAAACCCTTTCCAAAGAGGGGAAATGCATACCAGAAGAGCTATTAATTTCACTTCTTCCTCCTTCCCTCAGCACACAAAAGATTATTTCCCTGTTTTCAAGATGAGACAACCATGAACTGCAGGAATTCTTCTCTCACTGTGGAGCAAGCCCTGCTAGCAGGTACAGGTGTGATCCCTGTGCCAGGGGCTCCTTCCCCCATGCCCATCCAGGTGAACAGCAGTTGCTCAGTCACCAACCCTCTCCAAAGCTTCCTCAGCAGGCAGCTGGCTGCAGGGCCAAGGAAAAGGTGGTGCCCACCCCCTCAGAACAAGGAGGAACCAAGTCCCCATCAGGATGAGGTTAGCAGTGATTATGTGCCTGTTCTCAGCTGCACAGTCCCCAGAGAAGGTGAGGAGGATGCTTTGTGTGATATCCAAAACACTCCTGTGAGGAGGATGCTTTGTGTGATATCCAAAACGCTCCTGAGAAGTGGCTGTTTCAGTCAAAGAGCTTCCCTAAACTGAGACAGAGAGAGAGAGAGGGGGATCTGCAGGCAGGGAGCTGGAGCTACAGAGACCTTTTGTTCCTGTGGATCAAAAAAGCAGTTTGATCTCAATCCCCAGGTGTGGGATCACTTCAGCACAACACACGCCCAGGGATGAATTCAGCTGCCCGAAAACAGGCATGGGATCATTTATCACTGAGCATCTGCAACACCTGTGTGGCCTGAGAGATGAAACACAAACCTACAACAAGGCTGAAACAGCACCAAAATACCCCATGGCATGTCTAAGAGCACTGTCACTTCTGCAGGGGCCGCTGAGCTGAGCTGAGCTCAGTAACTCCCCAGGCTTCACCCCTGCTGTCAGTTAGAGCTCTGACTTGTATTAGAGCTTAAATTCTTAAATTAGCTGTTAATATGACTTGGAAATACCTGGCTTTGTGGGTTTTAGTCTGAGAAATCTTCTGAATGCCTGCAGCTCCTGCCTGCAGCCCAGAGCAAAGTGAGCAGCCTGTGATGGAGGGGTGTCACCACAGAACACCCCCCCTGCCACACCAGGTGTTTGAGACAAACTCAGTTCAGTTGAGGCTACAAAAGCCAACACTTTTTGTCCATCAGATGAACATTTAACCCTGCTTTTTTGCCTTCTGCACAGGGAAATCTGTAGGGGAAGTGTTAATGGAGACATACTTTAGCCTGTAACACGCTCTAAGTACGTGCTTGAACAGCTGCTTTATAGCAAGCAGCAAAACCAGGCTCACTATGGGCCATTTGCTGAATTAATCAAGCTTCAGGATATCCTAGTAAGTGAATTAATCTGTTTCCTAAAACAAGACTAAAAGCTTCACACTGTCAAAGCATAAACACATCTAGAGGGCAGCAATGATATTGTCATTTTCCACTAAATATAGAACCTGAGCAGAGACAAGTGCACAGTCACACACTGCACCAACACAGACTTTTTTTTTCCCCTGTTTCTTTTAATTTTTTTCCCCTTTGAGAATAATACATAAAAATTGCATAGTTGTAAGTGGATAGCATAATTTTCAGATCCTTGGTCAAAGAGCATTTTGCCCATATTCACACTTCAGGGTAACCAGAGTGTGATCTGTCAACGTGACTTTACTTCCCAAATAAAGAGGGAGGAAAAAACCCCCAACATATCACCAAAATAACAAAATGTCAGGGATAAAAAATCCTCACAGACTGACAGACTTTGTTTTATGAATGCAGCTGAAACTTATCTGAGTCACTCAGCAGCTCCCAGGAGACACAGAGAAACACAGACCCAGGCACAGAAATCACCACGGGAATTTCTTGCAGTTAGGATGGAAATATTTTACACAAACAGTTTATTCTAGTGTGGCAAACAGGAGGGGAATTTTTTTCAGCACAAGTTCTTTTTCTTAAGGAGTTTTTAAAATGCTTTTTGATTGATTTTGCTGGCATTGGCAGGGTTTGATAGCATTCCCCACCTGAGTTAGAGCGAACAGCAAAGCCTGAGAGGTGACAGGATGGACACAAAGCAGGGGAGGTGCAGCCAAAGCCTCTGATGAGCTGATCTGTGCAGGAACCTACCTGTCAGTTTTTGTCTTGAATTCCATCCCCTACATGCACAGAGACTACAGTGAGGGTCAGAAACAGCCCCATGAGTACCAAAACTTGGCCATGGATCAGTGTCTTGTGGTGCTTCTCTGAGTTTTTCAAAAGCTTTTCACAGAGTTTGGGCACTTCCCAGTCTGCATTTGCCAGTGTCTACAATTCAAAAGCTTTCCTTGACAGGGAATGCTGCTGGGCTCATTCCCTGCAGCTGATGAGCTGCTTTCAGGAAACTGGTGGCAAATTGGAATCTTTGAGAGCCTGATTTCTAAAACTGAAAAAGAAATCACTGAAACGGATCCAAAATTTTTACAGGCTTTCAAATGAGAAATATGCTGACAGATATACAAAATATACTCACAGATATACAAAATATACTCACAGATGTACAAAATTAATGCCAAAAAAAAAAAAAGCTGTAGTTCCTAAAAGGTGGCAGCTCATGAACATGGGATACCTGGTAGTATAATAAATGCTGAGTTACAACCTAGAGCTGGATAAGCTCTCAGTAAAAAAATAAAGGCAATGCAAGGTGGTTTTTCTAACTTGGTCTGATTTTGCTCTCCAAAAAAAAAAAAAAATCAGTATAATATAACAAACCATCATTTCTCCCTCTGCCTCATCAAAATGCAAACCAAAATAGAACAAAACTACATGTCCTAGGCAGAAATCTTATGTTGATTCAAGCCATCTCCTATCAGACCCTCATTTTGAGCTGTATTATTCACCTCTGAGATTTGCAAGATCCATTTCCCATTCTTTAATCAGTTGTCTGTGCTCATTTTATCATCTGTATGGGGAACACAGCTGAGGTTTTCAGCACAATCAGCCTCATTACAAATGAGGCAGCCCACAAACCAACTTGGTGAAATCATGCAAGTGGTCAGAATGTGTTAGTTAGTATTTGGTTTTCCCAAATTCTGGACATGTTCTGCATGCAGTAATTTTATTTTTCAAATGCCAAAAGACATTGCACCTGTGTATTGAAACCTTAACCTGCTGTCCTATTGCTTTTCCAAACTTTAATCACTTAACTGCTATTTCCCAAGGAGCTGCTGATTCCAAAATTTGACCAAATTTTTATATAATCCTTCCCTCTGTTTTCTGCACTACATCTTGGAGGAACCTCATACATGGAAGTGCATAAAATCAACTGGAGGTAGCTACTCACATTTTATGTTGAAAGGAGAAAAATATCCATTTCCTCAGAAAATAATGCTTCAGAATTTAAGTAACATATTTCTATTAGTCTTTTATTTAATTAACATGCCATTGTTTTAAGAGCAAAGAATTTAAGAAACTTATTAGCACTGCAATACAAGCACCAGCCACCACTGAGAAGGAGAAGAGCAGGGAAGAACTTTAAATCAGGTCATTGATGAACTAGTGAAAGCATCAACAGAGTTTATAAAAACCAAACTGGGGCAGTCAATATTTTTTTTTCTTTCATATACAGAAAAAACATTTAAATTCTTTCCACTGTGTTCTGCACTGCCCTTAATTCTCAGAAATTTTCTTCTGGTCTCAAGTGAGACTTGTCCAAGCAGTGAAGTACCTGCTGTAATCAAAGCCAGCATCACCCAGCCCAGTCCAGGTTCCCCCTGCTTTACTGCAAAGAGCCAGGTCTGAGATTAGAGGGCTTTAGGATGATTTTGCAGCTCTCTGAGGCAACTTTTACTCTGCTCAAAGTCTGTCCCTGACAACAAACCTGGCAGGGGACTTTGTTTCACAGAACCAACACACCAAACTTCTGGCCAGTTATCTGACCATGATACCTAGAGCTGGGGAAGGAATAAATTCACTTTCTACAAGTTTAAAAATAAGATCTAAAATGCCAGGGTCACTCTTTTACGGGATGCTGGCCACACAAAATTAACACTACCTGCAAGTGAGATCACCAACACCCAAGCAAAAGTTCAGAGTGAAACATGGAATGAAATTATCCCTACATGGAATGAAATTATCCCTATCAAAACTACACTGAAAAAGTGAGAGACAAACAAGTGGGTGCACATATTTGGAATTAATATGTTTAAAAACTCTTAATGAAAGGTCCAAAGGGTATTGACAGATAAGCAAAAGGAAATGAGTGCCTGGGTCCCACAGCCTGAATAACAAATTTGTAGTGAATCATCACGATTGTTTACCTCGAAGAATAAAGCATCCAGGAGATTTCTAAGGAGCCCCCACGCTCCCTTGCTCTGAATATTATTTGCCTCCTAATTTCCTCTCCTGTCTCCCGTGCAGAGCTGATGCAGCTCCAGCCTCAGCAGCCAGTCCCTGATGAAGTTGCTAAAACAGATTGCAGCCCTCAGCCTTCTTTCTGTGTGATACATCCAACTCCCAGCAGGGTCTGAACCCCTGCTCACACAGCCTGGAAAAGGCGCTGTCTGTCTTTTGAAAATACAGTTTAGGTGGTAGGATTAAGTATTCCATGAGCCCAAGGTTGTCTAATTACCCAGGTGGGCGAAGCACTGCTACAAACACACTGAGCTGTAGGCAGCCACACATGCACAAACACACAAAGCACAACACACAACAAACCCTCCCCAGACTGCAGAGGATATTTTCTGCCTGGATCTCCCTAAATGCACTCCAGCAAAGAGGAAACAGTGTCCACAAGTCTGCGCTTCTGAGAAATCTGCATCATTCCAGGCAAAAATTTTGAATATACAGGCTGGAATGTGGAGGAAATGTTGATTCCCAAGCAAACTTTTTGGTTTTATTTTATTGTTTTGGTTTTTTTTCTTTAATGGAAATGGATTTTGGGTGTCCCCAGGCGCCTTCTGAACACGAGATCTGCGGGAGAAGAAAGGAGTTTGTACTTACTGGTGGTGTTGTACTTGATCCCATTGAAGAACTCGGGGCAGGGTCTCTCCACGAGTTCCCCCGCGGAGGTTCTGGGCCAGCAGGTCCCGATCTGGTCCGTGGTGGCATTGCAGTACGGACCTGGGGTTAGAAAAAACGGGACAGAAAGGCAAAAAAGAAGCGGTTCAGAAAGCACAAAAGCCACGCACTTTGCATCACAAAACAAACCCAATCTCAGCACTTCTAAAGCTTTTCCCGAGCTCTGCACCAGGTAACAATTCCTACCATCAAAGCCCAGGAAAGGCAGAGAGGAACTCTCTAAAAAAGTCTCGTGTAAACGATCCAGGAGACTGCAGTTCACATCAAATTCTTCTAAGATGAACTGAGAGATGGTCACATCCATTATTCCCTCTGGGACTGCTGGACTGGATCAGGCTCCTTCACTGCTTTCTGGCTGCTTTTTTTTTTGGTCCTTTCTTCTTTTTCCCCCCTTTCTGGAGCCACAGGAGCATCAAGGCGCGGGCACCCCGCAGTCTGGTGCGTTCGAGCCTCTGCTGCTCGCAGCGCGCTGACAACTTGGCTGAGGCTGCGTCTGCCTGTGCGGCTCAGCCCTCCGAGCTGCTCTTCCCTTTAAATCCAGCGGCTCGGGAGCCAATGGCATCGGGCTGAGCCCGGAGCGAGGGGCTCTGCTCTCCTCGGTGTCCCTGGGCTCGCAGATGCCGCCTCACCGTGCCAGAGCGCTGTGCTGCTGCATCCCCCTCCCTCCCTCTCTCTCCTTGCTGCCTCTCCCTCCCTCCCTCCGACACACTGAGGCACAGTTTTATTGTTAGCTCCAGGGATGAGAGCTTTTGCAAAAAGAAAAAAAAAAAAATACTCGCTGCAAATGAAAGCCAGGGAGAACAGGAAAAGCCATCAGAGGAGGAGAACTCCTCGGGTTTTGTGTGGAGTGAAGCAATTCCTGCCTTTGCTGCGTGGAGTTGAGGATGAGCAGGGATGCTGGGGCAGGGGGGGAAGGAGGGGACCCGGTCCAGGAGCTGCTGTGCAGGCCTTGAGAAAGGAGAGAAATAATAAAAGCAGGGATGAAGGATGTGATCTGACAGAAGAGAGGTGTTGGGATAAAGGGATCTGGAGTAATTATAGAATCACAGAAGGTTGGGGTTGGAAGAAATGTTAAAGGTCATCTCATTCCAATACCTTCCAACAGACCAGGTTGCTTCAAGCCCCATCCAGCCTGGTCTGGAGTAAAGAAATCTGGAATTATGACCCACAGAAGAGACAGAGTGAGAAGTGTAGGGCACCAAAGGAACACACCTTTCAGCCCCTCACATGGATGGGATGGGGTGAACAGCAGAGCAGGGCAAGGCACAGAGGGCTCTGAAGCAAAGGATGGATCATTCAGGGAAGAGGAAGAAAAGAAATGCCCCTGTGATTTTCCAGTGGTAGCAGGGGGCAAGGTTTTCAGAAAGGATGAGCACCCAGACTGACCAGGAGAAAGAGGAGGAACCTCTAAACCAGAAAATCCTGGTGTGGGGAGACAGGGAAGAGCAAAGGGCTTGACAAACTGAGGTCAGTGTGGGACAGGAGGAGAAGGGTCTGGTGAAGGGGAAGGAGGAGAAATTTGGAAGGAGCTGCCCACCCAGAAGGCTGGTTATCTTTGGGAAATCAAAACTCAGCAGAGTGGGAACTGGGTGAAGGGCAGCACCCTGGAACATGCTGGAGAGCAGCTCAGACCTGGCCAGCCTTTCTGACTTGCTATACCAGGCTATGAGGAAATTCTTTAAAAAAAAAGGGTTTCTGAGAATCATTTATGATTACAGATTCAGAAGGATTTTGGGAAGCAAACAAAAAACTGACTTGTAAGGGAGTAGATAGAGATGTGGCAGAAAGGAATGCAGAAAAAGAAGGCGAAGACAGCAAAATGAAACATTTCCAGTCTATTCACAGCTTTAGGTTGGACAAGGTGCTTACACTGAGCTCAAAGCAGTGGTACTTCCTATAATATTTACCTCCCACCCTGCAAAGGCCTGGACTTTCCTTTTATTCATATTTATGACTGAAGGGCTTTATTCTTTGCTTTTGAAGGACTAAAAGAATTGTGGCATCCAGAGAGAAGAAAAAGAAAAAATAACTGGGTTAGAACAACAAATAAATTAACAACATGCACTGAGGAGAGAACTAGCCAGGATGTTATTTTGCCATGTGGGAATCTGGAGATTTTTTAACATTTTCAGACTGCAGTGGCAGAGAGGGGAGGAGTGCCACTGTGGTTTTGGGATAAGTATTTTTATTTGAAATATGAAAAAACCCCTGAGAATAACAAGTGTACTAACTCTCTAGACACTGAGGAAGTGAATGCATCTCTCTGCTTCTCTCTCTGGAGCCTTGATCTCCTTCCCAAGTGAACGTTCCCAAAACTGCAGCCCCTCTGGAGAAATCTCAATTGCAACAAATTAACCCTTCTCAACACCAACAGATCTCTTTGTCACATGCACCTACAACCCCAAAAAGAAGGTGAGGAAATTTTTTTAGCATCAGTCATGTAACATGACCACGACCAACCCACTGGCTGGCTTTGAACAGTGCTTTGAGGAGAAAACCCTTTTTCTTCAGCTTCCAAGAGTAAGAGATAAAGGGTGCTCTAAACCCTCATCTTCTCCTTCCTGACAGTTCACTTGAGCCCATAAAATTCCCTTTTGTCCTCAGGGGTGGCTTTGAGACCTCCTCACAGGACAGCACCTGAATGTGCCCAGTGGTACCACTGAGCCCAGTGGCTGCTCCCACCCAGGCAGGACTGAGCAGTCAGCAGGACACTGGTCCAGGAGGTTTTAAGTTTATTTTTTTTCCTGCTTCTGCTGCCTCTCTGCAGGAGAAAAATCACACAGCCTGGCCAAAAGTCTTCATTTCTCACCTACTGTCTGCCCTTTCTATTTTTTCATGCTGTTTGTTCAGCACACTGGAATCAAAATCCTGCTCAGAGGCTTTGGGTACTGGAGTTTCCTGAATTTTTTGAGGAATTCATCACTCAATAAATTACAAAAAAAGAATGACAGTTTCAAAAAAAGTAACTACTTTTAAATTTGGTAAATGTTTCATGTTCCTAATTCTGCCCTGTGTTTTCCAGAATAAACTCTTGAAGATTTTTTTAATGGTTCAAGTATTACAGAGTTGAACACTAAGCTGGATTTCATTTCAATTCTCTTCTTTATAGTGGTTAGCACCTGAAACAATAGGACTGAATTAAACTAAATATTTTTTCAGGATCAGGAGAATGATTTCTTCATTTAAGTGAGGAGAGCTAGAAAATCTTCAATCTAAACTGATTTTCATCTTTTCAGTTCAAATTTTAGAAAATCTTAGAAGCATTATGTATTGCACAATCCTGTTGTGTTCCATGTATTTAATATTAATTTAAAAACCCACTGCAAAAATAAATATAGAGGGGATGAATGTTGAGGATTAAGTCTGAATGAAGAAAATAATTTACTGTCCCTCAGTCCACAAATCAGCACCACTCTTTAATAATCCCAGTACTACTGTAACCTCTTGATGAAAAAACTACTTTTGCAGCTATCCCTGGGTACAATTAACCACTTCACCAAAGTTTCCCTCTGACTGGATCTAGTGAAATCCTGACTCTTGTCAGTTGGACTCACTTGATGTGAAAATCTTCATGCAAGAAGCAATTTCAATGATATGAAAGATGGACAGAAATCCTGCAGCTGCTGACACTTCTGCTTCCCTGCCCATGCCGTGGTGCACGTGACACAAATCAGAGCTTGGCAGGCAGCAGAGATCTGCCTTGGAAATTCCTCAGCATCCCAAGAAAGCTGGGATTTGGTTCTTGGCAGGCAGAAAAGCTTTGCCAGCTTCCAAGTGGGCTCATTCCTGCGTGCTGCCTATTCACTGCTTGGTTTGGGTGCATGTGCAAGGCTCTGGAAGAGAACAGGACAGACAAATAAACCTGAGCTCAGTAAGACCCTTTAAAGAGGACTTGTTAAAAGGTCACCTGCAGTTCTTCTGGGAAAGGAACGAGCTCTGCTCATAAATGGCAGTGGAAACCTCTGTATGTCAGCCCTCCCACCACTGCTACACAGCTGCTTTCTTCATCTCCAACCCACTCCAAGCCACAGCTGATGGAATTAGCCAGAGCACAGCTTTTCATTTGCCCCACTAACAGTGAGCAGCAAGGATGAGCTGTGATTACCCAGCAACATCCAAATTCAGCTCTATGCACACTCAGGCAGTCACTGGAAGTGTTTGGAGAGGGTGGAAGGAGCTCCAGAACCACCTGACTTCTCCTCAGACACTCAATCTACACAAAACCAAGAAATTCCTTGGTGTATTTCAAGACCCAGGATGATAACTGAGAGGAGGGGGAAAAAAACAGAAAAAAAATAAATAGAAAAAACCCAGAACACAAGTTCTCTCCTCATTTCCCTTCCTCAGAGAAAGAAAAGGTGCTGTTTTCAGCCTCCCACCACAGTGACAGTTTGATCACTCATGTTCTCTGTCTGTCAGTGTGAAGAGCTCCTGCTCTCCAGGCACAGCAGTCACCCTGTGCTCTGCTTTGTACCAACAAGGCTCAGGGCAGGAAATGCACATCCCCTGTCCATCTGGTGACACCAATGTCCTCTGTACCTCAGTGCCATTTGGCTTTCAGGAATTTTACCTCACCAGTGTGGAGGTATCACACTGAGTCACAGTCCCAGTGTTGGCTCTTCAGCTCTCTTCCCCTAACCCAGGTGTGTATATCCACATCCAGTCTCCTCATCTCATGTATAAACTGCTTGGTTAATTCGCTCATGGAGCTGTCACTTCTAAATATGAGGCTGGATGGTTTCAAAGGGCACAATAATTTATTTTCTCATCTCCTTTTCCTCTCTAAAAAGTGTCCCCCAGTTATCCTGTGTTATTACAAGGACCTTTCAGCATCAAACTTTCAAGTTACTGGGACTTCTCATCTTGGTCCTTTCCTTCTAGTTAAAAATGCCAGCTTTGGGAGTTGGAGATGAGGGTTTGAATCCTTTCTTCCTGAGATAGGATGGTGGAGTAACTCTAAGAAGGGGTTTAGTCTTCAATCTTTGGCTTACAAAACCAATGTTTTTATAAAGTATTAGAGTTAACTAGAGTTTGAGTAGTTTATTCTCTAGGGTGGCTGCAAGGGGGAATAAAACTAGGCTGATTGTGAGGTAGGTGAATGAGGCTAGTTGGCCAATGATGATGAATGGGTGTTCTACAGGTTGGCTGCCTACTCTAACCTGAGCAGGCAGGTCCTTACCTGCCTTTTAGCTTGGTAAGGAATGCAGAACTTTGAGGAAGGTACAAATTTACCAAAGTGGCTTCTGGGCCACAAAACTCAAGGCCCTCCTTCTCAAGCTGCACTGTAAAACTGCTCTCCCTGCACACCTCAAATGCAGTGACAACATGGCCATGAGCTGGTAGAATATTTATCTTCCCATTTCAGGTGTGTAAATGCAATTTTCAGAGTGGG